TAAATAATCAATTGAATGTTACAGATAGATTAATTGGTTATAGAAATAATTTAAATTGTATCAGTTCTACTAAATATAAACAAGTAAATATGAATTAGTTGCTATGATTGATCATTTTAAGTTAATTACTTTCTTTGTATTTAAACAAATTGATTGTTTAGAAAAGTGTATTTTGTTATCTAATAGATTCGGAACTAATTTAGTCAGTTAGAATTTCCCTTCTTGATCTTCTCAATCTTTTGCTGCCAGATATTATATTCCTGACTCGCAGTCTATACTACTTATGTCGGTATAAGAAGCACACGCCACACTCGTCCCGCTTTTTATGAAGGTGTTCTCGCAGTCTTTAATGCTGTTTGTGACTCGCAATCATGATGATCGTGCAATAATCTCTACAGCTGACTTGTATTTATGAGATTCTGCTATTCTTCTCTCCGGATCCTGTAAACCGAGCCATGTCCGTCTGTGACGATGTACGGTCCTTCCTACTTCGGGATAAGCTTTCCTCACCCTGATCCCCCTGCTATGTTACTTTTTCGTTCTCTACAGTTTATCAGGTCCCCCACCGCAAAATATTTCCACGTTCTCCTCTGCTGTTTCGCCTTCTTTGTGCCAACTTCCCACGGGGATCCCATGCTGTTTTCAGCCACTGCAGGCGTTTATGGTCAGTCTCAATGTGGAATCGTCTACCTAAAAGGCACGGTTTCCATTTTTCCACTGCCCACAAGATCGCTAAACACTCCTTTTCGATCGTTGAATACTTCTGTCCAGCGGATGTGAGAACGCGACTCGTATATTTTACCACTCTATCAGATTGACTGAAGACGACACCTATACCATGATCACTTGCGTCTGTGGTTCAGGCAATCTTGGAGTCGTCTGGCGGTCGCGTAGCATGTTTTTCATCCGGTTGAACGCTTTTTAGGCAGTCTCAGTTCACGTAAACTTAGTGTTGCTCAAAAACTTATATAAGTGTGCTGCTATTTCGTAGAAGTTCTTGACAAACACACCACGATATTTCTAAAGCTATAAACGTGCTATTCGGTTTCGTATTAAAGATGTTTTAGTTGTGAACTGTTAGAATTTTAAAAGTTATCGTACGACTTGATCTTTATCTCCATTTCTATAGATAACCGAGAAAAAGTCACCAATTACCGAAAACCATCTATTATGCCTTCTGATACTGTAAATTGAGATATTTGAAATATCACGGCGTAGAAATCGTTTGAAAAAGTCATAGCCAAATCAAAGTAAAGAACTTATTTCCAGCAGAGTAGGCGTCATAACAGGCCTAAAAATAATGAGCGTGTTATTACTCTAAGCTATAGCGTTAATGACTTTATACGAACTAACTTCACTCATGTAGGAGGAACATCTCATCAGTATATAATTTGGCATTAGTTTACTTATTATTGGTTTATACATCAGTCATCAAGTCCCTATACTTGAAAATATACACACCATTCGCACGGTCATCCAGCGCTCTCAGGTTTTCCATGGAGGTCTAGCTTTAATGGATTCATGAATTCAACTATCGAATTTCTCAGTTATTGATAAAATTAGGACAGATTACGTAACGAACTGTAGAAGGTACAAATCGGTAGTAAGATGTCAAGTGTACTAGTAGTGATAAGAATATAAAAACATGGTAATTAGATGAACAAATGTTTCTACAGTAAAGAGTAGATGAAAAATTAGAATCACTTGGAACAAAGTGTGTATGTATGTGAATAATCAGCTTAAACACAAACATCTTTCTTAACAAACGAATGGATAGGTACATTACAAACTGGAAAATTATTGGCTTGAATGCCTATGACCTTCACAATGTACAATAGACGGGTTCAAACTCTATCTAAAGAACGGATTGTGAAACGAATTACCACTGTGATAGGACAAATTGTCATTTACATTTCCACTAATCAGTTAGAAATCATACATATTTTCGGTAATAATTTATACTATCACCACAGATCATGTCATTCCTAAGTGAGTATCTTTCATCGATAGAATAGCTGTTTAAGTGTTACATTCACAAATAGTAACACTCTCTTTTTCACCGTAGACTCATATGGCGGTATAATACATTGATTTATTGAACATATAGAGGAAGCCAGAGTTCAATGTTCACAAAGGGATGAAATCGGTCATTAATTTATTTTGCCCATATGGTGAATTGTATTTCATACATCTGAAAACATTAAAATTTGCATACTTACAGGTAGATCAACCTGATTTTAGTCAAGAGAAAAGACCTTGTATTGCTCCACGATTTAATATTCCCAATTACAATCAAATAACTTGTGATGCTTCAGACCAATCAAATAAAAGCTGTGAAACAAAGCAGAATGAAGTCCAATGGCCATCAACGGTTCAGGTAATTCCTTGAACATTTGTTAATTTAGTCAGTCATCAACAAAACAAGACCAGACACATTCGTTAATTAAACTTTTCAAAGATGTTGAAGAAACACTCGGTACATATTTGTTCAGTTTCGCATTCTAAAAACTGTATGATACTGAATAAACCTAGCTATTGTTGTGGAGTCGGTCAGTTCTAAGTTACATAGAATATGGGATATATATCCATTAGTTCAAGTTGACACACCCCGTATCAGCACAACAAGCTGAAGTTATCAAAGCGGATGTTTATAGTAGTAAAAGTACCAGCGATGTCAATGGTAGTGGAGAACATTACGCGTACACAATATGATTTGAGAAAGAATGAATCCGTAGAATAGAAAAGTATACGATGATTTGTAAACCTCAAAATCTAAGGGGAGACAAAGAATGAGGACGTCCGTACTATTATATCCGTTTCCGAACCACATCATCCGGTAAATACAACCACTGTTTACGACAATAGAGTGTATCCCAATCAGGTTGCATCAACAAGGCTTCATACAGTACCTCCATGATGGAGTTATAAATACTTAAGACATATTTGTCTACTAAAGCTTCCTAGTCATTTCTCAGTCTTTTCACTAGTCAGTGTATAGGAGGTAAACATGTTAAGTGGGCAAATAGGACGTAGGGGGTCACACCAATGTTTCACTGATAGTTGGATGGCGCTAAAAATGAAGACTGTTCGATCTGACCTTAGTCATCTACACCTCTATCCCTGAACGTCCTTATTTCCAATGCTTGTTGGGTTATCGATGCGACAGCTTGGACGAAAATCTGTACAATGAGCTTCGATTTTCAATGTTGCTTCCGTTGATATCAGCCCTTGCATTGCAACTAGTTCCAATTCCTGTTTTTGTTGTCGAGGTTAAGATTATTATAGCAAATTAGTTGATTATTGAGATGACGTTTCCATACGATAAAATTTGCATTCCCACTTAAGCGTACAATTTATCGAATGACAGTTTATTAAAATGTCCCAGTTTTTATATGACTACCAAATTTCCAGTGTTAGTATTATAAAATGTCAACTTGAAATTAACTAGTTTCCTTATCCCTTGCTACTTTCATCTCCCAAAAACACAGGAACAAGCAGGAATATGTATCAAGTATCCTGGTGAGTCAGAAACCCGTTCAACATTCACAAAACCAAGTCATTGTGTATCAGAAGTTTTAACAAATCATGGTCAACTACGTGTATGTAAACCAGGTTATCAAATTAATCCACATTCAGAAATTAAACTAGATGGATATGGTCCTATCAAACAATATGAATTGAATAAAATGGAACAATCAGAGTATACACAAACATATACATGGCCAGATGGTAAAAAGATACATACAAATCCATGGAACAGATTACGAGAAGCTAGTCAATTGTATGGTGTTAAATAATTTTGATAATTCGGTTGCCTTCATAAGACTAAGCATTGTAACATTTCTGATTAGTTTATTTAGTTAAACAAATCATTCAGTAAATGAATCTGTTAAAAGCTAACAAGCCTTTTCTTTTAAATAAAAATAAGCAAACACCAAAGACGATTAGTCAACTAGGACAATAGGGTTCTAATAATACAAAGATGAGATCGACATCTACAAGTGAATGATGTAATCAACTCAGGAAGCAAGAATATATGTTTACAAATTTGAGTTTGAGGCAGAATCTTACTGTGAAGGGTAGTGATATATTTCCCGACTCCTCAAAAATATATAACACGAGGTCAACTGAAAACCGAGTGCTTTATGGGATCACTAGAAGAGAAATAATCCCGATGGCAGGTTATGAACCAGGCTCAGAGGAATTACTACATCTGAGTTTGTTTTGACTTATTGAATAGGAAAACAAAACACTAAAATATTTAGAGGCACATACTAAAACAAACAAAACGTTGACGTTTACTTCTAATCCAATTAACTTGAATAAAATAATAACTAACCAGGTGCTGAGAAATGCAAAAGCTTCCAAAAGTTCAAACAGAACTATTCAGAAAAATGATGTAAAAAGTCTCTTTCTTGATTTTTCAAAACAAATGCGTGAAGTTGATTGTGACGCTTCAAGACCAAGATCCATAGCGTCTTATTCTCAAGAATACCCATGAATCTCTTATTGACAGACATGTGTTTTGCACCGTTTCGTCAACAGATGGGGTTGCAAAAGGACTAACCGTTCTTTTCCTCTCAGCTGCTAGAGATGAGTTAAGTATTCATTTCAGAGGGAGATACCGTACGATTTCCCCTATGGCCTACTTTGCGACATTGTTTCTGTTCTTATGAATCGCGTAATCAAGTTACTACATAACAATGGGCAATAAGAGTTCAGAGAATAGATCAGACTGACAGATAATAAGCATTTGAAGCTCAATAAGTGACGAATTCTATTATATTTCTAGGATTGATAAGAAAATAAGTTACTTAAAGTGAACAATCATCAGTTCATGATTTCACAAAAAGGCTGATTATGTGCGGCACACCAAACAACGCTTTACTTACAAGATTGAACTAAAAGTCTCTAATGTGAAAATATATAATATCATAATACATCTGTACATCGTGCAATGGATAGAAACTTTACAAACAATAATAGTGTAAGTTATTATTTTACATATCTTCAACTGCCCAGCGTTGAGCTATTTCACGTTCAACTCGTCGGCGAGTTTGATCTTCAACTATTTTTTTTTCAAAGCCATTACTACGATCCACGCCATCCCAACGGAAACCAGGCCATATATTATAACGATTTGGAGGTGGTTCAGGACCTTTGTAACGGGGTCGAGCATCTTCTCCTTCATCATCACCACTATCGTCTGATTGGGATGAGTGTGAGATGTCGGAATGAGATGAATCTATAGATAGCCATATACAAAACGGTGTATCAAAATAATAGAAGATGAATAAAGTGATCAGTTCTATCATTGAAAACGTACATCGATGATACATGCAAAACTTCGAAAGAACTAGTTGCTCAAATGATTATCAGTCCTTAGAAAATCTTGAATGTTATTGACCAGAGTATGGAATTTGAATTAGAAGCAGAGAAATAGACGAGGTTGAAATAAACATTAACACAATTTGTGTAGTCATATGTTATAAATTATAAACAAGTTAGACTTTTTCTTCATAAGTGAGCAAAAAGAGAGAAGACCATTTACGAGAGGTTAATAGGTCAAACGTATATCTACCATAAAAAAGCATCCAACTCAGTGAGAAAGCGGAAGTTTTGCAATATTTGGAGTTTATTTTTTAGAAATAAGTTGAAAGATATTTTAAGACAAATAAAAGTTAACAAAGTATAAGACAGTGGTTTGGTAAATGATGCAATACCCCCAAATCCCCTGGTACGACCAAGGGTGGGGAGAGTCATCTCTCCCTCTCCAAATACTCTCACATGACCACATGCATACAATCACTGCTAAGCAAGTCCTACTCACTGCCTTCTCGTGGCATTACTATTGTTTACGAAACTGAGAGGACGAAAAGCCAATATCCGGCGCTTTAACCGGGTTGGTGGATATGGAGGATCCACCTAGAGGAGTTGGAAAACCCTGATTCCAAACCAATGGTGGATATGGGCTCCAGTATTCTGAAGGAACAAATGGCGTATGAACCAATCATTGGTCACTGACTAACATGGAATTGCATCTCCTGACGTCGCTCCATTGCCTTGTGGATCAAACCATTAAGTCGAAGGCCCTGTGTGTGACCCCCTAAGAAAACCACCTGCTTCGGTCTGGGCACCCGGGCAGTATAACAGCCCACACACAAACGAAGTGAATTGTGTGGTGAGTACGTATTCGGTGCCCCTTTTGTACTAAATGTTATGTGTTCAAATAAATAAATAAATAATTCTAGCTACTACTTCGAAATACTGATGGATTTGAAAACTACAACTCACGAGAAACATGCAACCAATGAAACAGTAATTTTAGAGTGAGTTTTTGAAGGAAAAAAAAGTGAAGATAAACAATGAGTATTAAGTGAACAAGACTAAATAATTTTGACACGAGAAAAATAGCATTAATAATTATAATTAGGAAGATGATAGTTTCTACATGAATGGTTGTCATTTATGTTGCATATGACTAATAGAAGCCTCACTTAACGTATAATACATGTTGGAATAGACCTGAATTGGGGGAATCTAAGACGACGAAATAGAAATGTGACAATAATCCACTGATCACTGGAGTTTCTAGTTGGATCCCATGCATAGGCTAAGAATCTGTCGTAGTGGTGAAGCACATAATTAAAAAAGAATTATTTAGTTCATATCATTTTATTTATTCATTAACAGTTTTAGCAACAGGCCTATTGCTATGTTTTTATGTTACGGTAATCTTTGTCCAACTTTTACTACTCTTATTTACTATTGGCTTTCATGTAAAACGGTTGAGTTACTAACGCAAAATATGTCTTAATCATGTTTTTAGATTGTGATCACATAACTTTGTTGGTCAACTTTTCCAAAATCACACAGATTACATCAACATTTCTATGTCCCATCGGGAGGTTGTCAATTTAAGAAAGTCGGGATGATTTAGAAACTACGCAAAGTCTCCCATTGAGATGTCACTATGGATAATCCAATGGGTAACTGAATTGTGTGGTCAACACTCATTTAATGTAAGATAAAGTGGTCAGTCCAGATAGATACACAAGTACAACTATAAACTTTGTATACCCACCGAACGTCATTTATATGGACTTACGTTTATGTTTTTTCTTTTTGTGACCTTTCTTTTGCCGCTTCTTCTTAGCTGATTTTCGAACAAAATACTGAGCCATAGGATCTTCAGAATGTATTTGTGACTTTAAATGTTCTGTAAGATCTTTATCACTAGCATATCGTGCCAGTGGTTTTGAACTTTCATATTCCTGTTCCTTAAGTTTATTATAAGTTTCTTCTAGAGTTTTGATGCTATTAGAGAAGAAGGATGTATCTTATTAAAAATACCAGACAAACCCTTTATTCCATACATCGTATCTAGCTTCCAACTCTGCCTCCTTTCTCGATTTGTCTCCTTGTTTTGACTTTTTGTCTTTGAGTAAAGTTGCTTGTCGAACCACTGTAGGTAATGGTTCTACGAACGATGGATCTGATGGAAATTCAAACTATCTGCATCTGTTTTATAGAATGCGTCTAGAGTTTCAGGGAGATCACCACTAAAATAAAAACAATATAAATGAAGACCACTATATAAACAGGGAGACTGGTTTACGAACTTAATCTGACAGTGGGTTGACAATGGAAGCAAACCGTTTCAGAATGAACAATTTTAAAGACAATCACCTGTTGTAAAACAGATCAAACTAAATAATGCTTACGTGAGATTACAAACAAAATTATAGTAATAAGAAATTGTCATAAATTCGTACTGTTCTCAGCAATAATTATCTAAGCAAAAGGATTCCTAAAAGTTAAACTAATCCTTCTCTTGGACTGCCAAACTTTGTTACTAAACAGCTAAAAATAAACAGTTATTCTGGAACGTGATATGACTTGGCTACGCAATTATGCATAATGACAACGGAGTGTGAGAGGTTTCTAGAATCCCTTGGGCCATGAGTGCTAATATAAATTACTGAGGAAACAAGAATGAGTACTGTTTGGATTGCGCATACAATCACCATCAAAAGAGGACTTATAACACATGGAAGGCAGCTGATACATGACAACTAAACCTATTAAAAGGATTGTTTTCTTACATTAGAAGAATACTTCCAAATGAGAGATTGAACGAGCCAACATCTTAAGAAAATCAGTCAATTAAAAAGAAGAACCGGACTCAATCGACGTTCTGAATAAAGCTCTTAGACGCATAAGAGTCCACATCTTACTGACACTAGGAGAATACTGAAATGTTTTAGTGGAGTTTCTTGAGGTATAGTACGTTACATGGCTGACACACGGTTGAGGAAATCAGCACAGATCTTTACTAGTTTAGCACTCTGGAAGCTTGTAGATCAGCACGTCTGGTAGTGTTTAAAAGCACTTCTAAAAAGAACTATTTTACACATGAAAATCCACATATTTTTCACAATAAAGCAGTAGAGCTCTACTATTTCCAGCTTCCACTTGGAAAATACCAAAACTTAAAAACTGCATAATATTCTAACCCTCTCACTATAGTTGAACATTCATGATAATGACTTTAAACGCATGACCAAATAGAGGACTTTGAGAGAACACAACTAGGTTTGGGGCTAAGGACAACATAAACATATTTGGTATAATCCAGATGATATCAACACATGGAACTCGACAAGGAAATAGAATCTTGTCAAATCCGAATTCAAACTATAAGAAGATGAATTTGATACTCATTGGAAATCAGCGAGTAGCCTCTTTTATTCGTACAATTCTAGGTTCACTGCCCCGCCTACTTGATTTCAATGGGACGTCGATACCGTATGGATTATCAGGACACTTTTGAAAGATGATGTTAATTTTTGGGAAGTTACAATTGGTGATGTTCATTTGGATCGACGAATATAAAAGTGGTTTAGAACGTCCATGACTAGATACAAATTTCACTGCGACGTGATCTACCATGGCAATGATAGTTGTCTTAGTAGTTGATATGAGAAACTACTGCTTTAGATACGGAAAAGAAGAGACATAAGTGTGGGTGGAAGTCGTGACTTGAAATACACTCCGTGACTAATTCATCAGAGGTCAATACATTTTAGACGCAATACCGTGATCACTTAACAAGGCTTTTAAATGTCCTCAACCTTCGCCTGAAAAATTGTGCGTGCCTGTCGAATATTTTATTGTATACTTCTGAAATTCTATGTACTATTTCTCGTCAAGTGATAAAAATTCTCAAGAATTTTAACCACTTTGGATAGGATTAACTTGATCAACGATGTTAGACAACCAATTGAAAATTAGAGTGAACTGAATAGACGAATGTTAATACATCTTCAAATCTATCTAGTCACGTTCAATGCTCCATCCCTTGCATCCGGATCAGACATTCTACTTGACCCAACATTCCAATGGGTAATGAGCACATTGAGGAAAATAGAGAAATATTATTTTAAATTGCATATCAGTAAGATAGCTGGCTGCAAACGTTCAAAAATAACGAAACGAAACCGTGGAGTGATATTTTGGATGTTGAACCCAATGCACTTTGAAGAGTTAACTTATTTTGGAAACTTACGAGATGTATTTCACTGTGATGTCGTTAACTACTTTCCGTTTCTTTTTAGTACCCACAGGTTCGAGGTAGCGTCTCAAGTAATCAGCTTTATTGTCCTTCGAAGGGTTGTTTGTAGTCATTTGAAGTTTTGGGAATCATTGGCCTTGAGGTCCAGATGGTTCAAACCGTTCAAATGGTTGTGGACGGAATAGAAGAATTTTTCGCTTAACAGGCTTCCGTGTCCAAAAGCATTGTGTCACTAATACCTCCAAGCAGGAACCTAGGTACATTAACTATAGTAGACGATAAAGAAATTGTTAAATCATAGTAAGACCACCGCTACCGCGCTCGTTTCAAAAAGGGCAGTGATTTTTGTACTTGTTGTGATTATACTTGCTTTGGGTACTTATTGAACTAAAAAGCATTCTTGGTCTACTTTATGTCAAAGTACTTTGGTTAAAGTTTGAAATTTTTTGCTAAATTTTGTCCTGAGTACCTTTTTTTACTTCTTGACTAACACTTGTGTTCACATTGTTATCATTTTGTGTTTTTAAGCCTTTTAAATCGAATTACAATGCTTGGTAAGACTCACAAATGTGGGCAACCAAATTTTTGTTCCCCGTTGAGGAAGGAATGCAATGTGACGATTGTAAAAAGTGGTACCACAAAATGTGTACACGACTAAGTCCGACGGCTTACAAAAGATGCTCGAAGCCTAACTCGCATTGGCTTTGTATGTTCTGCTGTACGGATAAAAAGTCACTAATACAGGAGGCTATGGGTCTATTGGCTTTGGCCTGCAAGAAAAACGATGGCGTAAGCACTGACAACAGGAGCACTGACGATGAAGAATGTGTCAGTGTAGTAAGTGCTGCTACTGGACCCGTTAAACACCTGACTGCGGTTGACAGGAAAGTGAAATCTCCGTCGACATTAACGAGAAATGAAGTGTCGCTTGTTATTGACATCGGCAGTCATACACCTCTAGTCGAAATAGAAGATCCGGATAAAACTGTCACCGTTCCACATAGTCCAGGTGTGGCTGTTCTGAGTGGTGACAAATGGACTTCGGTAAGAAGAAAAAAATAAGAAAAAGGCTGTAGGCGAAACGCAGCCGGTCAGCAAGACATTGGAAGGGATGTTATCAGAAGAAAACTCCTCACCGCGTGACAAGACAGATCTCTCTGATAGATCAGTCATTTTTCATAAGATTAGAGAATCTTCAGATACTGAACCAAAGGCAAGATTTGAACATGATCTCAATCATATTAAGACATCATTAAATAAACTACTCCCAGATACAGTTTCAGGAGTTAGTATTTGTAAGCTTTATAGCACAGGAAAAAAGGTGGATTCCGAAAGTCCTCAGAAAAACCGCCTCCTAAAGGTTACATTCAACACGGTGGAAGAAAGGAACCTGATTCTAAGTAATTCACGTAAACTGATTGGATCCGGAATATATGTCCGTGAGGACCTTAGCCTAGCTGATCGTATTAAGAGAAGAGCTGTAGAAGCGGAAACAAATGAGCGTCGCCGAAACGGTGAAAGAAACCTCGTTCTTAAGGGTTTTCAGATTGTAAAAGTTCGGAGCAAAACGATCCCCAAGCCTTGTAGTAGGCGACTTTAATGCACCATATATAAACTGGGTTAACTTAGATATCGGGTCATCCATATCGTCGTTCGACTCCAAGCTGTTAGAAACCTCGATTGGACTAGCATTATTCCAACACATTGGAGATCCCACAAGATACGACTTAAGAAACTCTCCTTCTCTTTAGATTTAGTCTTCACGCACGGTGATGACGTTGGTCAAACAGCTTTTCTCCTACCACTTGGGAGAAATGACCATGCAGTCATCTTATTCAAATTCATATCTGAGATTGCTTGTCAAACAGTTGCGCCGGCCCGTCCTAACATATGGAAGGCAGATATGCAGGCAATTAACTTTGCAGCATCGGCTGAGAACTGGGAAATTGACTCAAAGGCATCCGTACAAGAGGCATGGACTCTATCCGGGCAGTTATACAATCGGGTAACTCAACCATACATACCCTGAACTGTCCCAAAGAAAAAGAAGCACGGACATCCCTGTATAGGGCGGGATATTCGACGCTTACTAAGACAAAAGAAGAAATGCTGGGATGTTGCCATCCGCCTTGGCACAGCGGGTACGATGGAACGCTACAGATCGATAAGAAACGAGTGTATAACTAAAATTCGGGAAACGCAAAGAAAATATGAAATACAGTTGGCACAATCTGCACTCAAGCAGCTTAAGAGAATATTCTCGTACATAAACTACAGAACAAGGATTCATCATTGGATTCCCAACCCAAATAACGAAGGAAGTGAAACTGAAATGATAGAGGAAAATCAGGAAAAAGCTGAGGTTATGGCTGACTATTTTGGGGCAGTTTTCACTCAGGAACCTCCTCTAGAGAAAGAACCAGACCCAATTACAGAGTCAACAAACCAACTGCACACCGTGGACTTCGATGAAAACGATGTATTTAAGGCTCTTAGCACTTTAAACATGGAAAAGTCAACAGGACCAGATGAAGTACACTCCAAAATCTTGAGACATATCACACAGTTTACCGCGGCCCCCTGTCTGTGATATTATTATTATTATTATTCACAAACATCTTATGGGTACATAAGTTTTGTGAAGAAACCATTTCGGGTTTCCTCAAAAAATGCAATAATACACAATTTTCAATAATGTTAGCGTTATACTTGCCATATTAAAAAAATTTTAGAGTAATAATAGTAGAATATTAATAATAATAAATCGGGTCTGTGTAATTGAGAAGAATATTGAATTGAGTTTAAAGAAGGAAATGAAGAAAATAAGGGAATAGAAATAAAGGAGACGTGAAATACTCAAACAGTTTAATTGGCGTGTTTATGAACATAAAACAAGAACAAACGACTATGTATATAGCGTCAAATTAGTAACAAAAATAATTAAGAAAAAACAACTTATTATTGTGGTAAAATATGACACTGGAATAAATGTTTGTGCAGTCATAGTTTGAAGTGATGCAATGAAAGTCTCAATTGAGTGAAAAGGATAATGAAATATCAATATGTATGAGACATATATGCAATATGTCACTTGACCAAGGTGTGTTATCTATGAACTGGAAGGACGCAATCGTTACTCTTATACATGAAACAGGTCTACGACAAGTTCCATCAAATTACAGACCCGTAAGCCTCACCAGTGTTGTAATTAAAATACTGGAAAGAATAATCAAACGGACCATAGCGGCATTTATGGAAACCAATAACTTGCTGAACATGGCACAACATGGTTTTAGAAAGGGTCTATCCTGCACAACGAACCTCCTTATAGCTAGGGAGTTCTGGATAAATGCGCTAGACAACGGAAACTCAGTGGATGTTGTCTACATAGACTCCAGTAAGGCTTTTGACAAGGTGCCACGTGATTTAGGAATTTCTCGACTTGCTCTTTCGTAGGGTGTATTATAGTGTTATTATCATCCTATCCACTACATCGGGTACATCTTGCCCCGAGAAATAAGGAAAAACTTATTTTTATTCGACGGACAGTTGCCAGTTTGTATTGTACCTATTGCGGACTTAAGTCGTAAATAGATCTGCAATTTATTATATACTCATAGTCTCTAATCCTAGTATTAACCAGGTTAATACTTAATAACAACTAATACTCAGATATTATATTTAATTTAACGAGCACTGTGCTCACTTATTTTCATATCATGTCCAATAACTCCAGTAAAAGAGAAATTTCACCAACTTCTAAGCCAAATAAAAGGTCCAAATCTGTAACCCCTACAACTGACGACTCAGTGCTTGACAATGTCGAACCTTTAACTACTGAAAAATATGTGCATTGTACACAAATGTCTCTATCGTCACCAGATTCTCCATGTCGCAGCCCCTCTATTTCTACGTGCAGTATGCCAACGGTAAGACTGGTTGACATACAAGACACTATACCTACGTGCATCGAAAAGGCAGCACAGTCTACCAGACAGTATGTGCTACCAAGGCCTAAATCTAAAATTTCAAAAACTAAAGAGTCCAATGGTCCACCTCATACACACCAAAATACTGATAGATATAGTAATGACATCCGACAGCTACAAAACTCTCTATCCGAAATTAACGGCAAACTTGAGCAATTAGCACCCCTCACTCATATATGGGGCCTTGATACAGACAGAAATCTTGAGCAACTCACTAAAGCTGAGTGTATTTTGGAGTTTGTGGCTGAAGAAGTGACGAAGAGAGTGATGTCCTCCTTCAATGCAGTTGTGTATAACCTCCCCGACCGCACACACCCATCTAAGTTAAGGGATATTTGCCTTAGAGCATGCGGTATGCCGAACGTTAACTGCAAAGTCATCCGCCTTAGAAAAAAGTCAGACAGATCGACTTGGCCCCTTTTGTTTATGTTTGGCTGTTGTAACGATGCTAAGCAGTTTATTGATTTGAGCAATATTAGCTCACTAATTCCATACAAGAATATAAAAGTCACTCCAGACCTTACGCCCTGTCAACGTCGTGTAAGAAGACGCGAAGCGATAGAATTGAATGGGAGTGTTACAGTTAATAATCAGCCAGAGACAGTTTGCAACACAGCAAATAGTTTAAAACACACGAACAATAAGCATGACACCACTCCACATACGGCTGATCACTCTGTTGATCTAGATGAGTCTACAGATCAGAAACCTTTGGATAAGATACGGACCCCAACTGACACCAAAAACCATAACGACATGACTAATCCCAGCTGTTCGTTCAGTAATGTACTAAAATGTGAGTCGTGTAACAACACACATCCAACTAAACCTATACACTTGAAAATTTGTCCTCCTAAAGATATTCCACAAGTAGACTTGAATGAACGTAAGTTCATCTCACAGAGACAACGAAAGACTCCAGCTCTGAAAATAAAGGGTGGGAAGACAAAACTCATGATACCGAATAGGGAAACACGTAAGATTGAGCCCAAGAACAGTGAACAGGTTCTCCCCGCTGCTATCGTATAACTTGCCTTCAACACCTCCAAGTTGCAAAAAGGGTGGTGGGCTTCAACGTAGCAAGCCTTCTTACACGCAGACTAACGAAAACTACCAGAGAACTG